TGCCAAACTTTGGTCTTTTTATAAAATTTATAAATGTATAACTTTAGTTTTACATTCACTTGTTTGAAAAGATAAAAAACTACATGTAAATATAGTAATTTAAGTCGAATGACAGGAGTTTGTTTAAAATAAATTTATTGATAAAATATATTAAAACTATCAATTTTAAAAAGAACGTTATTAACACAATATTGAACGTAAACACGTACAAAAACACACTAAAAGATAGCGTAGAAACTGGGAAACAACATACGTACAGTTTGAATTTCAAAAAAATTATACGGAAAAACGTGAGTTTTCTTCTTTGACATAAAGTTTGAAAACATACTTTCAAATTTTTTTACCGATCCACAAAGATTCCACGCGCGCGACGCGAGTGTTTCCACTTTTAGAATTATCGTGTTTCCATTTTACAATCGTGTTTTCACTTCTAGTTTCAACTGTAGGGAGCCACCTTAAGTGTTAATTTATTCGCTGTTAGCTATTCATGAACATTTTCAAGTTCAGTATTTAATCTCACTTCGATATCACTTGCACTTTCTCCAGTAACCGATAAATTGGTATCATCAGCATACATAGGTGGTTTGATTTTTTTAAACAATTAGGCAAATTATTTATGTAAATTAAAAACAGGAGGGAACCCAGATTATACCCTTGTTGAACACCACACGAAATATGTTTTAAAGATGATGTAATATTATTAACTCTACACACCTATTTTTGATTCCGTATAATTCAAGTTTCTTAATAAGGATCTGGTGGTTAACCGTATCAAACGTTTTTTTTTGAGATCGAGGAAAAGGACCCCGTTAATAAGGCCAGCATCCATGTTTACTAACCAAGTGTTGATTGTAGAGAGTAAAGAGGATGTAGTTGAATGGTCTTCTCTAAAACCAGACTGAAATTTTGTAAGAATCTGGTGTTCTTTTAAATAGCAATTGAGTTGACCACAGACTTATACGAAACGCATATATCACTGGAGTCGTTTAAAATTTTTACTGGTATTTTATCTTCTCCACTCGATTTGGAGACTTTAAGCTTACTCAAAACAGTTTCAACTTCATCATTAGAAACTCAAAACAGCACTAAACGACCGCTCAAGATATTCTTCAAAACCTTTATTACTTGGTGGAATCCTGTTGGATAATTCTATACCACTTTTTGAAAAGTAATCGTTAAAGTTTTCAGTAATATCATCCTTATTCGTAAATATTTGATCATTTGATTTGATATGATTGATTACATTTGTTGTTTTAGAGGTTTTACCAATGAGTCTATATTTGTTCCACATTTCTTTAGAGTTGTTTTTCGAATTACTAATTACTTCTTGAAAATAACTAGCTTTCGTATTTTTAATCAATCTATTGACATCGTTCTTAGTTGTTTTGTAGGCCTCGTGCAAGCGAGAAGATTTAGTTTTAACTGTTTCTTCTTTAACGTATCACGATAGTTCATTAACGTTATTATCTCTCCATTCATCCAGGGGTATATTTACTATTAACTTTTTTTAGCCTAATAGGAGCATGTTAATTGGAAACCTCATCGAACCTGCCCTTAAATTGTTTCCAAAGCGCATTTGGATCCTCAGTGCTCCAATCGCAATTCAAAAGTGCGATAGAAAGATCCATTTTGAATTCTAATGTTTTGTAATGCTTAAAATTCCTTGTTTCTACAATTTTTGGTGACGTTTTGCAAAATGATATCTTTCTGCAGCCATAAATAAGGCTATGGTCACTGACACCCAAATGCACCACCCCAGATTAATAATATTTTCTGGCTTATTAGTAAAGAATAAGTCCAACAATGTCTCCGTTTCTTCCGTAATACGTGTTGCCTCGGTAATTATCTGCTTAAGTTGAAATAAATTAGCGATATCCAGAAGCCGGTTTGTGATACTGAGTCGATTTACTGCTAAAAGATTGCATTTAAAATCACCGACCAAAATAATTTCCTTATTCTCGTCGTCTAAGTTTTCAATCAAATTTTCAATAGTATCAAATGTCTCAAATGTTTTCAATCAACTTTGCAATAATATCAAATGTCAAATTTTCAGTAGTATCAAATGTCTTAATTCTATTTGTTTACATATCGACAGCATAAGACTTCTGATCTTTCCTGCGTGGAAATTATTATAGTACCCTCTCTCAAGTGTATTTAATCTAAATTTGGTTGGAAACGAAGGTTACATAAAATTCTTACAATTTTAGAAAACTGTAGGATTTTGTGAAAATATAGCCGGTAATCGGTTTCGGGGTGCTAAAATTACACTATTTTAAATGAAAAACGAACCGCATCAACAAATTTCCCCTAACATAATCAAATTGGTCATAAATATTTTGAAAACTTAATTCAGCGTTTAACTTTCTACAACAAAATTTAAGAATTATAGGATTTTGGCTGAAAAAACAGCCCTTGAAACTCCAAAGAAATTTACCACATAAAAAATGATTTTGGACGCATCAAAAACAAATCACAGATAAATTGAACTGATCATGAAAAATTGATAAATTGAAATTCCCTGTTTTTACGGACGTATCACGCTGGTCATATTCAGCAAATATTCTCCCAGTACCGCAGGCTCGCATTTTCAGCGGACGTGGGGTGAAAAATTGAAACTTTTGCACTTTTCAATGAGCTGGCCACTTTCTGTAAGATGTCCGCTGACGATACGAGCACACACAAGTGGGAGAAATTTTGCTAAATTTGACCAATGTATATCCATTGTGCAATCCCCAGCATATTTATCTGTGTTGACATTTGCTTGTTCTCTAAAGAACGAGAGTTTAGGCAAGACGTTTATTTTAAGTCGCTTTTCTAATTTTCCACAGCACACATCCGGACAGGTCAAATATTATATTATTTAATTACTTTATTTACCACATAAAAGAGTGGCAGGGTAACCACAACAGTACAAAAAACAATTACTGTGGACCCTATTTCACAAATAGTGTATAAATATACAATTACATTATTAACATAAACTAATTTACGAGAACAAATACAACTATCAGGAACAACAAAAGGTTGGAATATCAAGCTACGAACAGGGCTATATTTCAAGCAGATAGATCTCCAAGTCCGGGGATTTTCAGATTCATAGTTTACATTCACGGCACTGGTGTAATATCTGTAAAGTAAATATTTAAATGTGGATAAAGAAACAAACTGCTGTTTAAGTTCATTGGGAAGAATGTTCCATATTTAGGAGAATCTTCCAAATGTGAAATACCCGATTATGCTTAGTATAGCAGATCCATCCTTTTAACACGGTTACACAACGTCGTCCATTTAGTACTCAAAACCGCTGAAATATATTAGCCGGGCCTGTATATTGCAGGGTCTGGGTACTAATATATAGTGTAAAACAAAATGTAATTCAAATAATTGATCTGGAAGGATATGTTTTCTGTTCCTTAAATAATTATTTATTTATTTATTTATATATTTAGCTTTGCCAACTAGGGCAGGGACACCACAACAGCATAATAGACGGTTTTAGATAACAAGATGTGGACGTCAAGAGGACGTGGATGTCGTAATTTGGCGCCAACTATCGTCAGCTTCTGGTTTGCGACGTCGTCTTGGACAATTTCACGACGCGAAAATACAATTTTCACGTCCTCTCTAGAACGTCACAGATTTTTGCTTCTTTTGAAAAAAATATGAGACTATACATAATAAAAATCATCCTATTTTGTTCCCCATGTATTGTTTAATGATACTAGCTAAAGTTTTTCCATTGACAAGGTTGTTTTTTTGTATTTCGCTAAATTTTAGACGAGTTGATTTTCGACAAACACTTTCGGTCGCCATAAAAAATCAACAAAACTGCGAACATTGTTAATAATCACTTCAATACCGCTAGTAATCTTCACCAAAACAAATATTTTAGAACAAACTAAACTGAAGTTATATTGACAACTAGTTAAAATCAGTAAAACGTGGGAAAATAGAAAAATAAAAGCACTTAAAAGCTGTAAAAACTCGATCAATTTTAGCTGCTCTGTCACAACAGTGCAAAAAGTAGGACATGCAAAAAAAAAACGCTTTCCAGCATGAAAAACTATCGTAAACAGTATTAAATTTTACTAATATAAACACTGATGCTATATTTATACTGAACAGCTGACAAACTTGATTGAATAGGCTACAATAAAGCATTTTAATAGCTCGTAAACAATACCTGTATTTATTCCAAATGATGCAACAAAGTTCACTTTTCAAACTACAGAAATATACGTTTTTCCAAAAAAAACTTATTGAATGTTCATACTAATTCGTCAGGAAACACTTGGCCAGTATTATACAACCTTTTCTTGCACATATCTTGACAACTGATTGAAGACAATACAGGAATGAACAGGTAACAAGAAAACAAAAATTTGCTTCGAAAAAGACAAACAAGCCGTCCCAGATTAAAACCCGGAAGTGAACGCAAGGTGCATACGTCATTTTCACGTCCTCTTGACGTCCGCGTCACGATCTATATCGGAAATTCGACAGGAATGTGGCCACGCGAAATCACGCGCGTGGATCTCTAATGAGGTAAGTACTTCATGTTGCACGGATATTATGAGGTTGTTTGCTGGGTCGCTCATCCCACGCAAGCAACGTGTTTATGACGTTGGCAAACACGCTCTACTCTGTCTGCAAGTGCTTCGCGATGGACTCCTGTATTATTATGTACGTTTCTTTTTTGTTGAAAGTTGTCGAGGTTTTTATTTTCAAGCGAGATAGTAAGTATAATGTATCTCTTTAGTACAAGTTGTACACTACAAAAATGTACTTTTATTGCCTTCAATATCAAAACCCTATTTTCTTACACGTGGTCTCTTTCTGATACCTAAATATATATTACATCACGTGACATGACGTGACTACATTACATCCCTCCTTTTCTTTAAAATAACTCATTAATGTTAATTGCTGTTTATTGAATATTACTTTATAAAGTCTACGTGTCCGCTTTACCAGTAATTATTTAACTAGTTTTAACATGTCTAACTTCTATAAAAGTCAGGTGGTCTTCGATTTTGTCTAAGACAATACCTTCGTTGTAGATCTGGTAGATTTTGTTGTTGCTCTTCAACTATTGTTGGTTGCTGGTTTTCTACTATGTCGTCGTCAAAATCGTCTTCTTCATCATTCTGGTCTTCCTCACTTGCGTTCTTGTAATTTGTGAGACATTTGAAACACGATACATTCCGGGTTACGGTGGGCTCTGTGTTACGAGCTGTTACCATGTTGCCTTTGATTTCAATCACTTTAAATGGTTTTGGATTGAAAGGCATTGATAACTTATTGTCCTTCGGGACTTGCATTAGCACGTAATCACCAACTTTCAACTGACTTTCTTTCGCGTTGTTTCTTCTATCAGCATGGACTTTCATTTTCTCCTTTTCCTCCTTATCTCGAACAACGTGGTGTTCCATAGGGCCATCATTGTGTTGTAGGGATGAGAAACTAGGAAGCTTATTTCTAATTGAGCGATTGAACAAAAGTTCAGCTGGACTAATGTGTGTCGTAGAATGAGGTGTGGATCTGTAGTTGAGAAGAAAAAGATCTAATTCACTTTGCCATCTTTTTCCTTCCGAATGAGCAGTACGGATTGCTTTTGTTACTGTTTTCATGAATCGCTCTGCCTCACCGTTGGCTTGAGGCCAATAAGGTGTGATTCGGCGGTGATGGACTCCATGTGCAGCTAGATATTCGGTGAACTCAACCGCATTGAACGGGGGTCCGTTATCGGTTATCACTTCTTCGGGATATCCATGTCCGGCAAAGATTCTTTGGAGTTTGGAAATCACAACCGTGGTTGTCGTGCTTTGCATCACTTCAACTTCTGGATATCTGGAATAGGCGTCAATCACGACCAACAATTTCTCGCCATTTGGGAATGGACCACAGAAATCTGCATTAAGTGTGTGCCAAGGATGTGGAGGTAACTTTGTCATATTCAGGGGTGGTTTACATTTTGGTGACTGGTGTACTGCTGCTTGGCAGGGTACACACTCTTTAACCATTTGCTGCACTTGCTTGTCAATACCAGGCCACCATACTTTACTGCGTACAAGCATTTTAGTTTTAACTATCCCTTGATGTCCTTCATGAGCGATAGAAAGGACACGACTACGGAAACTCTTTGGGATAACGATCTGTGAATTTCGTAGTATAACTCCACATTCCGAAACTGTCAACTGCTCGTGCTGATTACGATATGGGCTTAAACAACTATCTGTTTTGTTCCATCGATCTTCCTTTACTGCGCTAGTTACTCTCTGCAGTTCAGGATCATTTAACGTTGCGATACGAATCTCATCGAGCGTGAGAGATTTAGGAACCGAGTGACTTTGGATGAAATTGACATATTTCTCTGCTATGGTACTTGACTTGTAGTTGGTGAATAAAGGTTGTCGAGACAACACGTCAGCTGGGTTGCTGCTACCTGGTCGATACTTGATATTAAACTTGAGTGGCGGTTTGGACTTTGGGCTGTAAATGACTTCCAATGGTTTGTGGTCAGTGATGAGGTCAAATTGTGTTCCAACAAGGTAAAGATGAAAACGTTCACAACCCCACACTGCAGCCAATGCTTCTTTTTCGGTCTGCGAGTAGCGAGCTTCCACATGCCTTAGGGAACAACTAGCATACGCTATGCAGCGATCTTGCCCATTTTCTTGTGTTTGGGCTAATACTGCACCAAGTCCGACAGGACTTGCATCCACTGTCAATTTTGTAGGTCGATTTGGATCATAGAATGCCATCGTACAGTCCGAAGCAATAGCATTTTTAACTTTGGTGAAAGCTTTCTCATGCATAGTTGACCAAGACCATTTGCTCGATTTGGTTGTTAATTCACGTAGAGGGGCTGTTAGAGTGGAGAAGTCCTTAATAAATCGTGAACAGTAATTGGCCAGACCTAAGAAACTGCGTAGTTGACTGACATCTGCTGGTGTTTTGAAATTTTTAATTGCCTCGACTTTCTTTGGATCTGCTGACAGTCCGTCCTTTGACAGAATGTAGCCATAGAACCAAAGTGACGGTTGATTAAACTTGCATTTCTCCAGGTTTAATGTAAGTTTCTTGACAACTAATCGCTGTAACAGTGCTTCTAAATTCTTGTCATTTATCGTCTGCGATATTTCGTACCCCGTGTAGACCTTGGAGCGCTTGCTGTATTGCATTTTGGAATACTTCTGAAGCACATGACAGACCAAACGGCAGGCGTTTATACCGAAACAACCCCTTGTGTGTGCAAAAAGTGGTAATGTTACGCGAGTTCTCTTCTAGGACTATCTGATGGTATCCTGCTTTGTGGTCTAGCTTAGAAAACACGACAGCACCAGACATTTCTTCCATTAACTCATCAACTGTTGGGATTGGATGTCTCTCCCTTAACAATGCCTGATTTGGTCTACGGTAATCTCCGCATAATCTGATTTCATCTGAATTGTGTGGTTTGGGAGCAGCTACTATGGGTGATACCCATGAAGTAGGTCCTTCGGCAGGTTCAATAATATCGAGACTTTGTAATTCTTCTAGTTTATCTGAAACTTGCTTTCGTAAATGGAAAGGGACTCTCCGAGGGCGTTGTGCAATAGGGGTAACTGTACGATCAACATGCAATGACTGTTCATAGTTTTCCAAACACCCTATTCCGTCAGAGAGTTCTGGAAATTTATCTAAAATTTTCTGTGTATTAATGTCAATGTTTTTCAGGCTATTTCTGTCCCTTATTTCTCGATTTCAGGAGTCACTTTGACTGTTCGCGTCACTTCCATTTGAGTGGCTTCCGGTGTTGATTTCATTCCTACCTCGACTTCCGGTTGTTTTCATGCTATGAAATTTAGAGACTTCGTTAACTTTTATGTTTAACGAAGTGACTATATGACCGGCAGCCGGTCACGGTTTATCAAATACTAAATGGCCGGCAGTCTAGTGACTATAGTTGAATATAAAAAATTTTGTTTGTATTAACTATTACCGAGCTTGCCGTTAGTTCATACGGCAAGGGCGCTGCGTGCGGAAAGTTAAACGCAGTCGGGGTCGGGATGTGTTTTGTTTGACTTAACATTGTTTTTTCTTAAAATTTTTTAAACTTTTTTTTCCGGCTTTTCTAACTCTCAAAAGGTTAGGTTAGGGGTTAGGGTTAGAAAAGGGTTTGGGGTTGGGGATAGGTTTATCTTATAAAAATTCAACTTTAACAATAGTGGCTGTTTCATTACCGAGAAGTGATCCCGTTTTGCCGTTGACAACATAAAACGTCGATATTGTACGCTTTCCATTCGATTCAACCGCTAAACGACACTTTCCAAGCAATGACAAGGGCTGAACGGCATTATATGCATATATATTTGTTTGTGTTGGCTCTAATTGTACATGTTTATTTCTTTTCCTAATACAAGCGAATGCTTCACTATCAAGAATATTTGTCGTCGCTCCTGAATCGATAGTCACAGCGATAGGGTTCCCACTGATCTGTATTTGAATGTTAGTTATTTTTGATGATGAAACAGCAAAAGTATACTCATCGTCGGACGAATTAGGAGGGCTTTGTTTTTGGGTTTGTTGTTGTGCAACTCTCACAGACTCTCTCGAATCTTTCTTACTATCTTTCGGGGGATTTTTTCGACTTCGACAAACTCTAGCGAAATGACTGAGCTTTCCACAAGCTCTACAGGTTTTGCCCTTCGCAGGACAGACATCTTTATGCCCTTGTTTAAATTCATTTCCACAATTTCGGCATTGATTTTGTTTGTGTGGTTTTGGTACATATTTAGCATGTCTTACCTTGTCTTTAGCTTCGTCATTCCCCTCGTCTTTTACACGATTAAAATTGTTCCGAGAGTTATTGTGTCCCGAGATATTCGACGCTTGTTTTACTGCTAATTCCTTCGCTCGCGCCATGGTAATAAGCTTAGCCAATGTCAGATCTGTCTCGCGTAAAAGCTTCGTACGAAATCCATGAGACGAGCATGTCATAACAAACTGATCGCGTATTTCATTCTCGGCGCCTTCGAATTCACACGTTTCGGCTAGTGTACGTAGACGAGTTATGTAGCTATCTACCGATTCTCCAGGCGTTGGATGTGTCTGTTTAACATAGCGTTCATATATTACGTTCTTTTGTGGCTAAAAATATTCGTCGAGCTTCTCTAGAGCTGTTTTAAATCTGTCCCGGTGTCTTGTAGTGTTTTGAATATTTTATGAACCGACGAGCCAGCTACATACAATAACACTGCGCGTTTCTTTGCATCATCCTTGATGTTGGCAGCTACTGTATGCATATTAAAACGTTCTCGCCATTCTTTCCAGCGTTGGGCTAGCGAGGAATTATCACCCTCTGCATCAAACGGAGGTGGTGGTTTTAAATCCAAAGTTGTGGCCATCGAGATTTCTTCTGTGTTCGCTTCTTCTTCGTTTGGGTTCAGCATTAAAATAAACTTGTCGCCAAATATAATGTATCTCTTTAGTACAAGTTGTACACTATAAAAATGTACTTTTATTGCCTTCAATATCAAAACCCTATTTTCTTACACGTGGTCTCTTTCTGATACCTAAATATATATTACATCACGTGACGTGACTACATTACAGTAAGTACTAAGTATTATTTTTCTGCCTATTATCCAATTGTTTTAGGTAGTTTTTAGAGAAAAACACTTGACAGCGATTATAAATTATTGATTTTTTTGCAATTTTTTAGACCGTTTCAGAATCCGTACAAGGGGAGATTTCGTCGCTGCAGATGTTGTGTGGCAGGAGCTTATTCATCATATTAAAGAACGATTTTGACCCATCCCGAGCGGCCAAAATGTATACCCCTTCCTTAGGCAACCTGGAGTAAATCTGACCAATCCTTCAAACGTAGTACCACTAACAAACATTAACGGACTGGAAACTGACCGAAAACACAACGTCATTGTGGGTCTCTCCTGTTTTCGTCTTCTCCATGTCGGTCAACTGCCTGATCAGTACTCGTGGCTGTGGTCTTTACAGACTCACATCCGAGCTGATCTTGCAGTCGACATAGGAAATGAAATCAGGAGGGCCCTTTACACCAGACGGAAACGTAAAGAGGAGGCTTCAGAAGCAGGGAGAAGGATATCCGCTAAAATTTTTTGTTCCCCAGCAGAGTTTTTTGTTTTATTTTACGAGTCTTGTAACTCTTGTTCCTTAAGTTCTCTTCATTCTCTTATTTCTCACACTCGATCTTTCCTGCGTTTCCAACTTTCTTTTGCCCAACTTTCTCACATTCTCAATGCAGGATGGGACAGAATTCATTACAACACCATCGACATACACTGTGTTAATCCTGACCAATCCATAACCATCACCTGCCAATACCGATCACCTTATACTGACTTCTCTCATAATCAACCAAACTGCTACCACCCTGACCTCACCCAGTTACCACCACCACCTCCTGGACAGCTACACCCTCCTGATCTGATCAACTCTATCATGTCTTCTTCACATTGTTCTCCACTGTTTCATCCTGGAGAATCTGTTTTTTATATTTCTATTTGTTTTTCTCATATTTTTCAGAAGGTTAGGCATCCACTTAATATGTAAATTTATTATAATTTAATATATTTATTATTTTATATACTAATTACTTAATTAACTCAATCGGTCAATGGCTCCTTTTCCCTGCTTTTGAGGCTGAGGCAACATGTGCACACTGATTTCTTGTATACAGTAGATGCATGTATAAAAGCTGAATGATCAAATATTATATTGTTTGGACAAACTGTAAAAAATGTAACTAGACCAAGATCCAATTTCTAATGGTCACAGTGTGTAAATGTTGCATAAAGGTCTTAATGAAAAACAACAATAAGAACAACATGACACAGCAAGGATTGTAAGATTTATTTTGTGGTTGTCTGAAGTTAGAAGGAACACAAGTACCTAAAAAAAAATCAATCAATTGATATACCTGGTTGCAATGAATGAACAAACTTTAAATCAATCAAATATTTAAATACAAGAGCATGGTGATGTTGTAGCTCAGAAAGAACATATCATTATAGTATGTGGTCAATCAATAATTTTGTTTTCATCTTCTATCAATTTGGTGGCAATGTGGTTACAAGAACCGTTTGTTTTCGAAACTCACTCTTCATTTTGCACTCTGGCAGCACGCTTGTTTAACTTTGCCTCTCTTGCTTTCTGAGCAAGCACAGATCTTGGAAGGGCATTGGCATGGCGTTCTTCAAGTTTGGCCTTGGTGAACTTCCCAGATCGAACATATGGGCGTTTCTTCCTGATCAGTTTATGTTTCCTTGGATACAAAAGTCTGCAAATAGACATTAATTAAACAATTATTTTTATTTATGGCATCTGTTAATTCTAACGACTGTCTAGTACGACTGATCAATTCATTATCCAAGCAAAAACCAATAAATTCCAACTATGTAGATATAATGTAAATACTATTAACAGTTAATAGGTACAGTACATATTTTGAGTAAACAAATTAAGCCTTTAAATCAGGAAAGGTTGTGATGAAAGTGAAGTACTGGTATTGTAAAATATGTTAATATGGAAATTCTGTTAAGCAAAGGAAAGAAGGTCAGACTAACACAAGGTGTTTTCCACATCTATTACCAGGTACTTTTATATCCGCAATAACCACAAAGATAGTAAATTTATTTTAATGTACAGTATGTGGTTATATTTCAAAATATATTGTTCAATACCGGTTAAAAAATTGCACTAAACCATTGCAGTAGTCTTTTTTGTTCAATTTCTTAAAGAATACTTGCTTCGATATGTAGTTTACTCTCTCAACAGCCTGTTGAAGAAAAAATATCACTTTTAAATAAATACAAATACTGTCTGACTGTGTTTTGACTATACAGTGCATTACAAACAATCAACATAACACATGCTTTTAATGTGTACCTTTTAATGTATTTACGTGCATGTTAAATGGTGCCAGTGAACCATATAGCAACAAGTATTCTGGGACATGATAAACCTAAAATATAATAATTTATTTCATGCTGCTTAATTATCTCTCAAAAACTGAACTTTGATTCACGGATGGATCCGGCATAATCTGGTGGGGGAGGGGTGGGGGTCTCTACCAGCTCTGCTGCCAAAATTAATGTTACTCAAATTACTGGATCTCATTTAACCTCTGATATTTTAACACACCCTGCACCCCCTCTGGGCAGGTTGCAGCCCTCCCCCCTGCACCCCACAGTAAATCCATCCCTGCTTCGATTAAAAAATGTTGACTATTTACCAGTGTAGGTATATGGGGTGTTATAGCCCTATCCTTGAATATTGCCATGAACTCGTTGGCAAATGCCATAGCTTCAATTTGAAAACTAGCAGGAGTCATGCCATCACAGTTTTTGCTCCGCAAATGGTTGTCAAGCTTCTCAAACCTGGCCCAACAAGAAACAATTAAACCAACCTATGTAAAACATACGCAGTGCATTATTTCACATGTACATTTACAAAGTATTAATTTTTTCCCAGGGATGATGTGAAGAATTAAATTAAAAGAACATCATTTTGCTTCTTGATTAATTCTTGAAAAGAGCTCAAATGACATATACAGCACATACAATGTGGATATACTGTCATTGTGGAGTGTAAATTGTAATCACCTCAGCATCTGACAAAACATCTGTCAGAACAGCTTCGATGTCCAGTTGCTCTAAAATGTGTTTCTTATGCGGACCATCATAGCTTGGCCAAGTATCCTTTAAATTAAAAACAACAGTTATATAATTGTACAAAGCTCCCTGCAAATGATAGTCAATACGATGAACATGTGGTCCAACACTCACACTAGATCGACAAAGCAACAACACTCTTGCCTTAGTGAGTAACACTGCCTGGGATCAGACGTCTGAGAGTTTTTTTTAAATGAAAAAGTGGGGTACATTGTCACTTAATTAACTTGACAAAAAATGAAGCCAATTTTACCTTTCCTTTATCATCTTTGCTGAAACAGAAATCAAGAGAAGGCTTGATTTTTGCCATTTCCTCAACAAGTGCATCCTTAGCTCCTAAATGGAAAATGACAAGATATAAGCCTGTTATAACAGTCACAGAAAGGAATTTCAAGATATTGCTTGAAATTGTAAATTCTATTACCCTTGATTTGATTGCATGTAAATCAAGTGTAAAGTCAGTTTTTCTAAATACATGCACAAAGCTGTTGAAGGAAGATGTACCTTTCTCCAGAACAACCCGAACAAGTTCGTCAAATAAGACATCAGTAACTCGGAGAAAGAGATGCAACGTGTCCTAAAATGCATTGTAAATTTTGAAAACCAAGTATTGGGTATATACCCTATAGTACTCCCTATAAACTATATGTAATACTGTGAAAGTTTATTTTACACAATCATGCAATCTTGCATACAAACTTATAGTATACTGTACTTTGTACTTACAGGAATCATATGATCGAAATCAATGAAGTCCAAAAGTGGCAAATCAGCAACACCCTTTTTTGCATTGCTATAACATAATAAAAATATGCAATATGGCCAAATTGATTTTGATTGTCCTACAATCTTAATTAAACACCAAACAGTTTTTTTTTTGTCAGAGAGAGGCTTCTTGAGCAAAAATAAAGAGATTAGATTAATCAGCTTACCGGTTTTTAGCTGAAGTATATCGCTCTATGCACTCCCCAATAGTTCTGCTGCACTTCCAGAATTGTATGCTGATCTCCTGTATAACACTCTTGTCATAGTCACACCAGAGGCAAAAGTATTTATTGTTAGCTGATAAATAAATAAATATTAAATTAATACATGTAATTACTATTAACAATTAGAAAATGTGAAAAAAATGTGCATTACATCGATCCAAATATACAAATTTTGCACCTTGTCAAAGTTCATAAAGGGCGGACCATGCCTGTTATTTTACCAACATAACCACCAGTTGTAGTTATTTTGCCTGGATTAATCCCTAATAACAGTGCAAGGAATTTCCAATCTGCACATAAGAACCACTCGACTTTCAGCTTCTGAGCAGTAAGAGGTCCACTTGTGGCTGTATATCTTAAACAATTTACTTAGAATTAAAAATTATTACAGGGAATTAACTATATTGATTTTTTTGAAGAGTCAAAGAGCACACAATTATAATTTATCTAACACTTGCTGTATGGTTTTGGTTGACCATGTACAGTATACAAGCAAAATGCTTCATAAATTATGTGGAGAAAGTGAAAAATTATAACAAAATAGTAAATTTACCCATTCTCTTGCAGCCTTTGCATGCTATCCATAATTGGTTGCAGCGATTTTTTCAGGAAGTCATACTTCTCATCCCCATTATAGATGGCAATTGGGTAATTGTATTGAAAGCTAGCTGTATTTTCTGCAACAAAAATATAAGAAAATATTCATTAGACACTCTGAAACTTATAACATAATATACAGTACTTGTATCATTAATTAACCTACTGTAAGCAATTCCTATGCATGCAAACAGGGACATGTAAAGATTTTGCCAAGAATATTGGTATCGATTATGAACTCCTCATTTGACGTACCCTCGTCAATAATATTAAACAATAATACAACAGTATTTTTGTTTCTCGATGTTCTGCCACCATCACCAGCAAACCGAAGGCGGAGAACTGGAGACTCCATGTTTTGGAGTTGCTCGCAAAACTCTGGAATCTCAAATAGATAGTCAAGTATATCATTCACGTCTCGGTAGGAACCATCAATGGGTACACCTTCTTCTCCATCTTTGAAGTTATGCACTTTGATGCAGGATGACATGCATTTTTTGGCAGCATCAACTTTATGTGAACGAACCATCTCGGAGTTGTTCATGGAAAGCTCATGGTACTGGGTTTTGGACACAATTAAGTTTCTGGTCCATAACAGCTACTTGAATCTCATCTTCTCGACTTGCTATCTGCGGAAGTGCAGGAGTAGTCTCAGGTGTTGTTGTTGTGACTCGCTGAGCGATTTCAAGTGGCTGTTGTGGACCTTGAGCTTCGGACATATTTAGAACCACATGAACACTCTCGTCACCAGCCTTGGTTGTTCTTACATCAAATTCGACTTTACCCATGTTGATATGTGGGGGCCGTTTCTCGCCCAACGACATAAACAACCGCTTTGATGCCAAAACCCTTCGCCGCTTGCTTCGTGCTGAGGTGTTGTCAGAGACAATCATTCGCCTTTTAAATAAACTTCGACACTGGCAATCACCATTTGTTTTTCTTTTACGGGCTGATGGTCTTGGTGATGGGTTGAAAGCATTGATTAGCGATGAAGGTGGTGGAGTAGATGGTGGCAAAGATGGTGTAGTTGGTTGAGGATGGCTGGAGTAGCTTGCACAGGAAACACTCTCGGTGTTGTGAGGTGGAACCAGAGTAATAAGCTGGGATAGTTCTTTTACAAAAGAATTTGTACAAACTACACTCCTGAGTTTTGCTTCGCCTTGGTCTTGCTTCTCCAAAGGCATTAAAGACAACATGTCCGGAGTTAATATATATTTCTCACCAGACATAAGTTTGCAGGAGGACTTACTCACACCTTCTGTGCTTTTCTGAACCTGGCCAGACTCACGTAAAATAAAAGGATATTTCTGAGCTTTTGAAAAACACAGTTCCTTCAGATATCCAACTCTTGTTTTTATGTTTACATATCCAAACAATGCATATAGATTGTCATCCACAATATAAAATGAATTTCCTTCAATAACTATTGTTGAAAGCTCCCAACCAAAAATATTTATGGACAGCATTTCGAAAAAAGAGTGTAAAAAAGACCTTTTGTAATTTTGGAAAAACAGCAAGCAATGGACGTCGTCTCACTGCTTATACTGCAAGTTTGTAAAAGTAGCGGGAAAAAATACCGTATTTTTATTGGCTAATCACAAAAACTTTCTTAGGCAAGATAAAATAGTTTTTATACATACCAAAATCAAAATGATGTTTTGAACTGTGTAACCAAGAGCAGATATTCACAACTTCCACAAAATCTAAAAGCAAAGAAAACATAGAATGACAAGTGAATTGCCTATGTGTTGCAACACTATTGAAAACGTAAGAAATGTAAGGAAAACGTATCTTATTTTTGAGTTTCCCAACGCAGCATCAAAGACGACAACATCACAACTTGTACAGCAAATCCATAAGCATCCGAGCTTGTAAAATCATTCAAAAGACGATATCAGCTCACAATAGTATAGAACAGAACATGTCGACTTTGTTATCGGCCTACAACAACAACTTTAGCCACGAAAAAACGGCTATTTCGCGAGCTTTCATACAATGTTTAGCTTGCGATCTTCGGCCGCCATCCTCGACTTGTTTTAGATAATATGTCAATCCATAAGAATCCCTATATTTTTACGACCTTATCTACAGTTAACCCCTTTTCACCACTATCTTTCCAATATAATCACGGCTATCCACATGTGCACAGCTCTATGATTCATGGCGCAATTCAGCTTGCAGACCGGACGCGATTTGGCAACGCGACGCGAATTTTCAGTTTTCAATTAATTTTAATAACTTTAATATTTTTCAATGTTTTTCAAATATTCGGGACCACTTAAGCAATTTTAGCTATTTGGTCTGCATATCTTGTAAAATATGTATTCGTTGACGGTTTTATTTGTTTCTGAAAACTGAAAATTCGCGTCGCGTTGTCGAATCGCGTCCGGTCTGTGTGGGCCTTTAGCGCCTCTCGACGTTCCACGCAATGTTCACGCGCCTGTCAATTATTTTGACGGCTTTACGCATGTTCAACAAATCCAGGCATGCCTGGATTTGCCAATTGTCGACAGCCTCGAATTCCGATCGTGCTTGTTATCTAAAACCGTCTAATGCCAATTACTGTGGGCCCTTTTACCTAACCCACCCTGTCAACTTTCTCTGTGGGAAGAAACCAGACTACCCGGAGAAAACCCACGACTTTCGGCAGAGCGTTAACTTTTACTCTTTTCACATGAGGACTGGATTCGTGTCGCATTGAGAAAGTTCTCACTGAGGCTTGAACCTGCGGCCTTAGAGGCGAGGTGAGGTGCAAGTGCACTAACCACTTCGCCACCGAAGCTCCCGTAATAATTTTATAATTGTTTAATCCGTAGTTTTATGTATTTCAAAAAATAGGTATGTGCATGCGCAGTGAGTGGAGTGCATGCTTTAAAAGAGGTGATAATGAAATAAAAACAGGAAATCGAACCTTCTCTGAGGAAGGCGAATGCCGTCATTTAGGCGAAAGCGCTCAATATGAGAGGTGCATGTGCACGAATCTCGCAAGCAAGGGTCTCCACATCCACGGCGGGACAATGACCTTTGCAAAGGCTGGTCACGTAACCCGTTAATGATTTATTGCCTGAGGAAAAAAAGGGTAGAATATCATATTATTTTAATACAGTTCCACTTTAAGACTAATTAAATTGCAACGCGCCTGGACTGAGAGAAAAAGTTAGTTAGATAATTACTGAATTACCGAGTTAGTTTGTAGAAATAATTTGTAACAATGCCTTATTATGAAGAGATAAAAAATTAAGTAATTGGTACAGTTGTCAACTTTTACAATTTGAGGCAATTTATAGTAACCGAAAATCTCATTGGTATGTGTTAAAATTATGTTGTCACTTATGCTTTAAAACTGGATACTGTCGAGCGGTTTGTAAAAGTATTTCTGTGTTTTGTACGACGCATATGGAACTGCTGCCAAATACAGTGGGTGTCCTATTATCGAAGTTGCGGATCAAATTTTAATCCATTGTCAAGTTTCACATTGTCCATCATGTTGGACTACGTACATCGCTTTCCTTTCGTGTTCGCAATTTGCGGTTTCTAATAGTGTATATTACCATACCATTTTGAAACCAAAACAAGTTATATGCCTCGATTATATAAATTATCTCAAAAACGCTTGTTGTACTACCTACTGGCAGTGGAATGTATCTAGTGTTGCATCTTAAATTATTCCTGCATTGACGTTTGCGAAGGCGAAATTAGAACAAGATACAGGCCCTTCTCCCTGGAGTATGGATAGGTCTATCGTGGCAACCATTGTCGTTATAGTTTCGCCTTTGAATGCTCTGATAAGCAATCATATTACTCGTCTGTGCTTGAGCATCTATTTTATCGTAAAAGCGTGGTTGACGAAGACACAGAAAACTTGTTTGACTGTGATTTTAGTCTTTGCGAGGAAGGGAATCCGAACAGAAATAACATTTATTATCATAAATTATCTTCATAAATACCTTCTTCAAGAAACTTCTCTTCGCTTGACAGTCAACAATGCAGAAAAGTTACAGGTGCATGTCAAGTCGCTGACTACAGTAGCTGACTACAATGGCAACCAGTCCGGAGGTCTTTGGAACCTGCAAGCCGGACCTTTGTTCGTTGATCGCCATAACAGGGTATTTTCACACCAAGCATAAGATCATTACTTGACGCAACAGGAGGGAAATGTGATGCTGTTTAATCAGGCCTCGAATGGTTCCCAATTGCCGGTGTTGCAGGCTCAGGGTTACATCACAGGAGGTTGACACCACATTGCACAGTCCAGCAGCTGAATGGATCTCATACATCCACTTCTCAAGTTGGTCCAACACATCTACACAATCAGAGTGCTTCTTCTTATCCTTGAGCAAAATTGGCATGGTAATGACTTCAGACTTCATGCATGTTTGTTCAGAATACTGGAAATAAGTGGCACTTGGTATATATGAGCTTCAAAAACTCCAGTAAGTGTTCAAAGAGAAGTCTTGCCAAAAGAATTCTGTATCGACTTCTTAATTAACACATCCCACTCTGCATTACTAAATTTGACCAATTCTATCGAACCCTCATGGAAGTGCTGCCCAATGTTGTCCATCATAATATACTTGGTAACGGGATCGATACATGTACAGAATCCACATCTGATCAGTCGTTCCATCAACTAAAATAATTATATATAAACATGTAATATTGTAATTCACATCACAAGATTTATTGACATATAGTATAAATATACATTTTTGGGAAGCCGATGTCAGACAACACGGACATTAATTCGGAAAAAAATTATTTTGGGAAGCCAATGACAAACAGCACAAAAATTAATTCAACTTTCAACTGGGCAATTATAAAATTGTCTGCATATAATTTATAAAATAAATCTGCGTATCAAGACAAATAAAATGCTGAAGCTGATACAAACAATTCCATGGAGCACATCACATGTTAAATGGTTACTTCGAATATCAACATAAATAAACAATTACTATACTTCATAAGCAAGTAAGGGTAAGCAAGATCGCGTTTATCCTCTGTATTCGACTTAACTCATGGCATCTCATGAACATGATAATACCATATATTAAACACGCAGCTGGAATTTTCTTTTCAGGAAGATACATGATATCCAGTATCTTTGAGAATATGTCTGATACATGCACTGGATACCGAGTAGAAAGTTCATTCATCACTTCAGCCATCCAGTTTTCATCTGTCATTCCTTTGTAAGGTCTTTTCCGCAACACTGATATGATGGCTCTCTTCTTCTGCCAATTTCAACGAACTCTTCATGACACATAACATCATTGAATGCCTGAGTGGTTTCAATATATTCACTGGAAGGAAAATGGTTGGCTGTTTAAAAAAAAACACAATAAAATTGGTTTACCTTACCTTACACAATAAAATTAGCGAACTTAAGCAAAGCTTAAGGCCCGGTCACACTACACAACGATAACGATACGATAAATTGTAAACACGCGATAATTGGCAAAAAAATTGTGCTAGTGTCAACACTACAACGAAAATGATAAAATTATCGTGTGACGATAACGATTTTAAAATCGCTCACCTGAGCGATTTTTTTTTCAGTGGAACGATAACGATAAATTTTTGACCAATCAGCTAGCGTATACAAGTTATCGTATCGTTATCGTTGTGTAGTGTGACCTGGGCTTTAATCTAGTACGGGGACGTGTCAAGAAACCGCCTTAAATTTTACAATTTTATAATTATAAAGAACTACTGTTATTAAGAACTTCAACAAAGCAGAACGAAAGTGAAACGAGAACAGCTAATAATATCATATTAGTGCAAGAAAGTGAGCAGAAATTAATAATTGAAATCTCACGGTCGTTCTAGACGTCGCCGTAACTCTGTTTTACAACGACGAAATGCTGATTATCACGTCTCTTATAGAACGCTTACATTCCAAGCTGGGATAACTGCTATTTTAAAGTGGGTCCTAGAACTTTTCTCAATCATAACCCCTGTGTTAATTTTGATCCTTAAACTGTATTAAAAATATCAATAAAAGTCGCAGGCTCTATATATAGAGGCTTTATATATAGAGCCTGTGAGCGGGCTAGTACCAGGGCAGTACAATTACTATCAGATAAAAGTTTTAGTTGGGATCACGGCATGATCGATTGAATGAGTTCATTATACTGTAAATTCTGATGCTGTTAGATCTTACAAGAAATAAAAAATGTTTAAAAATCTATTATTAAATATTATATTAATGAAGAACTTTGTGATGAGCACTAGCAATTCAAGAAAGCTAATAACTTTTATAGTACCGGACACCAGAATAAATTTGCAACAAGAAACCCATGCAATGAAGTCTTAATGAATTACTGGATTGTTTAGACATGCATTAACAATACCTCTTACTACATTTTTGTAGAATGAAATCTTGAAAAACAATAAATTGACATCATTAGTTGCTGTATATACTTATTATTAAAGCAAAATATTTATTAATCAAAGTGTGACTCAA